AGCTGCCAGCCATGGCACTTCACCACCTTCTTGGTCTTCTTGGTCATCTTCAGGCCATGACGCTGGCTCTCCATTGAGCAGTGGATACTGGCTGACCGGAACCTCCGAATTGACGACGAAGGCGTCCTTGATCAGACCTGGAGCCACGAAGGTCAATGTCGTCCTCGGCCCATGTGGCAATGGCCGAAAAGGCAATGGAGTGTCCTTGTAATTGGCCAGGTTCTCCAACTGCTCCCATTGGCCACTTCCATCTGTCATCTTGGCCAACGTCAGTCGTCCACATCATTCATCTCCAAAGCTGGGACTTGGGTCATGGAAATGTGATGCCATTGGCTTCGAGTGGACAACAATCCCGTTGGGAAGTGCGTGCCAGCCTGGGATCCTCTCCAACAAACCCAGTTCACGTGAAATGTATCCATGCAATTGTCGAGGTGGTCCACGAACCGGTCGTACCTGCTCTTCTGGGCTTGACAACTCGACTGGCTCTTTCTTCACCTCCTTGAACTTGAAGTTCCATCGTTCCCAACGGGCCAACTTCTCCTTCACTTTGCCATCGTCACTGCTGCTGCCTTTCACCATGATGTCACCGGACTCCTCTGTTGTGTAACCTGGTGACCGTTCATGACTTTCATCTCGACCAGGGTCACCCTCATGTGACAAATGGTGCATCAGCTCCAAAGTCACATCATCATCCTCAATGTCACCTTTTTCACACGCTGCGGCGGCAATCTCTTCTGCTGCTGTTGTGGATGGATTCTCCGGCGGCCTTGTGTCACCACCACTTTCAACTGCATCTTCTCGTCCTCCACTCACTGCATTGACTTGTAGTTCATCTGGCTCATCTCCTTCAGCTCGAACTGCACAAATCTTCACATCCATAACAAGTGAATTCCGTTCCAACCGTGCAGGAATCTTCACGGTCTTCTCTGGGTGTTCAAGAAAAAGACCATGATCATCTTTGGAAAGTCCCCATCCCTGCTTCAGAAGGCGTCCAAAGCTCAAAAGTGGATGGGTCACACCAACTCCCAATGCAAATTGCTCAATGAATTCAATCACTTCACCATCACGAGTTTGGGCTTGTAGTCGTAGACGGCGATTTCCTTTGCTGCAGATCTTGGCTCCTTGGGCATCGATCATCTCGATGGGCTTGCCTGCACCGGGCACTCCAAGGTTGTAGAAACGCTCAGGAGCCACTGACACATCTGCCCCGGAGTCAATCGTCATGATGACGGAGGGAACTTCCAAGGCCACGACATTCTTGATCATGCAAATCTTCATAGTTTCAACCCTTGCTTCTGCATGTCCATCATCTCTGCGTTCTGAGGTCTGGGCTTCCGTTTCTTCCATCGACGGAGGCTTGGGTTCATCCTTCAACTCCTCATCACAGTCATAGAAGGTCTCCTCGTCATTCGTTGCCTCATAGGTCTCGGCAATCTCTGTCACTGCAAAGATGGTCAGCTCCGAGTTCTCATCTCCTGACTCGAATTCCTCTTGCTCCTCATTGGAGTCACCCTGAGTGAGATCAAAAATCTCCATGGTGGCCAACCCCGTCGGCGTGACCAGTCTGACCCGCCTGACTCCCGCAGTCGACGAACGTCCTCCGGTGTGGGCTGAGCTGCCAGTTGACGCCGAGGTCTGGCCATCTTTTGTTGTCACAGTTGCTGACCCTCTTGCATCTTGACCTTCTTCTTCAACTCGTCTCACCTTCTTGGACCAGCAGTTCCTTGGCATAGTGGCCTGGCTTGCCACAGTTGTGACAAGTGCCCATGCCTTTGCCTTTCTTGCCATCACCTTTGACAAATGGCTTTCCTCCTTTGCCCTTCTTTCCTCCATCTTTGGACCAGCTGCCCTTACCTTTCTGCTTGCCCTTGTCCTTGCCTTTCTTTCCTCCTTTCTTTCCACCTTTTCTTCCACCGTCTTTTGACCACACTGCATCCACCTCCATTGGTCCACCCTTGTCCTCAACCTCGGCCATAGGTCGTACAGAAAGCTGCAGGCCTCCTTCAGACATCCATCGTTGGCTGACCTGTTCATAGAGCTCGATCCTCTGTCTCAGGTCTTCGAAGGTCGTGTCGTCCTGCAAAGCCATTTGTATGTGGACTCTGAGGTTGGGAGGAAGGGCTGCCACCACTGAAGCTATCTTCAAGTCCGTGAACCCTGAACTCTTTTGAACTATCAAACCATGGAGGGCTTGCACCAGTCCTTGCACTCCATTCGAAGCGCTTGCTGCCTGTGCGGCAGCGGGTCCACCATCACCACCAATGGCTTGCTCCAAGCCAGTTCCAGCCGAGGCCATGAGCGTGACCCCAACCAGTCGTATCCACCCGGGGATTTCAGGTGGACCTTCCTAACCCCCAAAGATCACCCCAAAAGGGATTCCCTGGAGATGCCGGGGGCTGCCCGGCAGAGCTCCGCTACCATGAAAACCGCTGCACCCCTTTTTGGTGCCACCGTTTGGGCCTGAACAGTGCGTCGTGTGTCAACCTGTCAACCTGCATGCTCACCACCATATGACCTTCATGTGTTCATGCTAGATGCCTCAAATCCTGTCATAATTGCAAATCATTATCTTTAGAAAATTGCCTTTAACAACCATCATCAGCCATTGTTATCCACTGAATGCCCAAACGCTTCCCTTCTGAGTGGCTCTGTGATTACTGCAAACGGTTCTTTGGGCGCTACAATAGACCTTGAAGACGCTAGAAATCATCTGGCGCTCTTTTCTGGCATGTTGTCTTTGGATGCTTTTGACATTAAAGGCATTGCTTGGGTTTGCCCTCATTTTGAGACCCGCTCAAAAACCGCGCCTCCAGTGATTCCTCGCATGCGCTCAGACGCTCCTCAAGGTCGATTTGCAAACTCAAAAGCTTCTGATTTTTGTCACTGCCACGTGATATGTAGACTGTTGATTAAAAGCTCCATATAAAAAGGGCTTGCAATCCAAATGGGGAGGGTTTATTAGTCTAGAGTCGACATCAAATTGTTGGCTATCTGTCAACAAGTCTTCGATCCCAACCACGCACTTGAGATTCCCCTCCACTGATATGTCTAGATATACATACATATATAAATGCGACCTTTTGTCTTGATCAAATTACACCAGCATAGACCCAGATAGCTAGGCAGAATGCCACGACCTGTTGACATGCGACTGGCTGGAACAAGCCACAACACCAGCACCAGCACCGACACCCTTTCGAAAGCGCGCGCAGCCAGCTCATTCTTATTTGCAGCAAGAATAGCTATCCCTATTTGGGGAATAACAACGTATGATCTTGTGCGTATAAGTTTACGCGCGCAAAAATACGCGCGCAAGCAGCAAAGCCCGTAGTGCCATTGGCCAAAGGCCAAGCAGTATCCAGCGCCACTATTGACTTTGTAGCATGCTTGAAGCAACGATCTGCAGAACGATCAGTGATCTTGCGAATCTAAGTTTATGCACACAAAAGTATGCGCACAAACGGCAAAGCCCTATAAGCTTCACTCGCCCAAGGCCATGCTTCACTTTTGTGTATGTAGCATGCGGGGACATGCTGAAACAATGGTCGGTTGAGAGCCTGACGTTGCGCAAAGAACATTATACGTACAAAAGTATGCGCGCAAACAGTACAGCCCTTGACACAGCTGCGGGCCAAAACAGAACCTGAAGAGTGTAAATACACCACAGCACATAAGTTGCGTGCATAAGTTCACGCGGCCCATGACTGCTGGCACTTCATGGTCAGAAGCGGCGCTTGGTCACCCTTCACCGCTGCAAGCGGCGGTTTGTTACCCTTCACTGTCAGAAGCGGCGGTCGTTATCGCTTCACTGTCAGAAGCGGGCACCAGCACCAAGCACCGGCGCGCCAGCTCACGGCGCCCAGCACCAGCACCCAGCGCCGGGCACCATGTCCCACCACGCGCACAGCCAGCACCCAGCACCGGCGCCCAGTCTCCAACACGCGCACTTAAGAGAATGAGTGGTCAGTATACTCTAATTTTCGCTTCCTCAAGGAGATTGGTAAGTGGCTTGAAAGGAGCGCGAGACCGCCCAAATCGTTTGTCTCACCAGCCACGCGCAGATTGATCAACTCGGTTTGTTTGAAGGTGAGCGTTGCCGTTTGACAGCAGACTGCTTTGATTTGCTTTGACCGGGACTTGAGCCCCGCAGCTTTGTTCTGCCACAGGCGAAGACCTACAGTGATACAGTAAACCTACAGTAGGATAGTAAGACGTAAGTCCAAGCTATGAAGAGCAAGGAGATGCACCCATGGTTCCTGGAGATGGAATGTCAGGTCTCAGGTCACTGCAAGAAGGATAGCTGGGCGCCTGTCCATTGGTGTCCATCGTTACCCAACACTTTTCCTGGACCAGCCAGCGGCCTGTTCACGGTGCCACGCCAGCGCGTAGTAGAAGCATGGAGGTCAGCCAATCCATGCTGCGTTCATCTGTGAGGTAATGTGAGATAGTATCCGTCAATATCCATGTCCAAGAAACTTCCCCCAAATTGACAAATACCCGAAACAAGGCAATGATAGTTACGCGCTATTATCAATATATATATATATAGGCATGGGTAGCACACATGGCATGGGTCCATTACAAATTGCTTTTTGGCCTGCAGCAAAAGTCACCTACATCATTCTAAATCAGTAAGTGAGTAATGAAAAGCCATATTTTGGAGCTCTCGTTGCTTCCAATATGTCCCACATGTTCGTAGCAATGAGTCTTCGTAGTCATCCTTTTAGGACCGGCTACCTCACGAGCATCGATCGACTTGTCGTGCACTGTTTCGGATTGTCGTCACTGGTGCTCACCTCTGACGTAACGCTATCAACTCAACTGACAGCAGCCTGAGAGGCTTGTTATCTGCCCCTGCTCTTGAAAATGAATGTACGATATTGTACAATTCTATCTATCTATCTATCTATCTATCTATCCGAATCTAATCTAATCTAGTCCAATCATGTCTAATCTCATCTATATGTCTATTTGTGTGTGTGTTAGTGTTATGTCTTCTGGTCGGCCTCTTGCCTTCAAGACTTTCCTACCGGATGGAAGCGACCGGCACCACAGCCCTCTGCAGCGTGAATCGGAAATGAAAACAATGCGCTTTGGGACAGCTGAAGGACATGAGCTAGACAAGTGCAGCAGCAGGAACTAGCACAAACCAGCTTTGGGATATTTTGGGTTAAAATGTTCAAGACACACCTTACTGTAATCTTCCAAAGTCTTCTCAACTTGCGAATCAGTACTCACTGGTTCAGGTGGTCACCATGTGGTACTCTTGAAAGAGTTCTCAGAAAGAAGAACACATGTCACATACTTCAAATTTAGGGTCTTGCGTGTCCCATGCGAGCACCAGCCGTTCTCTGGAATTCGACTAGCAGTCGTTCGTGCCCCCAATAGACCTCAAAACAAACAGTAATCATGCACAGTCTCCATGTAAATGTCAAACCCGCTCGGGTCAACACAACTCAGCTTGTTTTCTCTCATGCCCCTCCAGCAAACCCACCGAGGCCTCAGCAGTTTCGGGACCAAACCCCAGTGAGCAAGTGATTAGGAAACTCCCTGTACCCCCGCTCTGAATCGCTCCCTCCCAACCACCAGCAACACTGCAACCAATTCAACCAGTCCCGAAAAGCAGGTTTGTAACCGAAACTCTGAGGAATCGTGATGACCACCTCTGCTGATCCGCTGCCAATCCGACGCGTTCAGCTCCGAGTTTGGACCCCAAGCGGCCTCACACCGACACTCTGACCACCGACACGCTGAGAGACAGATTTGAGGAGGGGTGAACAAAAGGTTTCCATCCAAACATAGCCACATTGGAGCCAGGAGACACAACCAATCATCTGGCAAAGGGAAGAATGTCGGGATGATGATAACATTCTCAAAGAAGAGCGTGTTTGTCTAGATGGCAATGCCACGCTCTGGGGGAAAGAATGCTACTGCCTTTGTCAGATACGTCAGGACTCTCTTGGTCGGGAATGGTTTTTCAAAATGTTCAAACCCACTCTGAAAAGGCACAGAAAAGATAACTTCAAACCGGATGTATACTGGTGAGGCTTCAACATTTTATTAATGCAAAAACAACAGGTTGAGTGGCTATGGTCCGAGGAAGGCAAACACAAGTCACATCCCATTGCATCCTGAGATTAGAAACGACCGAAAACAAAAACAAACAACGGTTCGGCGCAAATATGTTTTTCCAACCAACGTCGCTCAGTTCGGCGGCGGTACCGAGCCTCAGCTAGTCGCTAAGCTGTGGACTGAAGAACTTCATAGTGAGACTTGTCCATTTCTCTGGCTTCTCAAGCCTGGTGTCGCTCTTCAATTCTCGAAGCCGTCCATCTGAGGAGTCCGCATCGGAAGAACATCCATGCCCCAACTCTGTTAAGCCAGGAGACGAACCCTAACCAAGATACATGCGCATGTCCAGCTACAGGTGGCTCGCTTTGTTCTCGGTCCTGAATGTACATCATGGAACTCTTCTGCAGAAGGAAAAAGGGCTCCCACCAGTGAACAAAGATAATCACTTCCTGTGTGAACAGCAGCAGTTACAGATTGAACAAATACATGCTGAATATGAGCATATACCACACACACAAACACACCCTTTTCATGATGGAAATTGTATGAAACTGTTGGTCCCACGGGGTATCTGCTCCTTTCGATCTTCGGTGAACCGCGAAGAATGCCGAATAACGTGTCCTCACGCCGTCACATTGGACAAGTCATCACTCGCGAAAAGACGATCTTGGATCTCTGAATTGTCTGCGAGCGCCAAAGTCTTCAAAATGCAACCTGACCCTTGGGATTGGCCACGATCAAGAAACATGTTCATACCTAACCTGAATTCACAACCTCTCTCCATCGCAAAGGTAACATATGAACAAAGGAGCGACCGAGGGTTGGAGATAACATGACAGTAACTGCTCAGAAAACTTTGGCCGCAGAGCTACGTGCATTCACTGCTCAACGAGCTCCAGGCCTTGGAACAAGGCAGGAGCATCCATGATTCGGGCCTGGACCCCTGCGAAAAGAAATTGTATCATTATGGCGGATCCAAGGATCCGCAATAGGCAGCCAGCTTTCCTCGTCTACAATGGAAGAAACGAGCAGAAACTGACAAGTTGGTCTTGTTGGAACAACACCTTTGCATTTTCAGGAGAGCACCCAGTAGGTTCGCCTATACAAGAAATATCAGTAAACATCTCACTCCAAACGGTAGAATGATACATTCGAATCAGTCTGAATGCAGTTATTTTTGGGAACGCCGCTCCCGTGTCCGCGACATCAGCCAGCTATCAAATGTATCAAATGTATCATGGTGCAAAAACACATACACACACACAATTTAAAGAACTAGTTCCACGCGCTACCTGTGAAATACCCATCTCATGTTTACCTACCATACCCATTTGTATGGGCACAGGGTGGGTAGTTTGTGGATCTTTGCGCAAGACCGAGTACCCCAGGGGCTGGGAACACCATAATGGTGGCACCAACTTGCGGTCAGCAGCAGCCATTCCGAATTTGAGGCTACAAAGCCCCATGCAAGAAGGGATTGTAGTGCGAAGAAGTGAGGATGTTCCATCAAAATGATGGACACTTGCTTGAGGATTTTGAGGAATGTTGAGGAAGTTGGAGGACTAGAAGAACCAGGAGCGTGCCCCGCGGCTACAATGTTTCAGTTTGGATTTCGCTTTCAGAGCCACATGGATCTATAAGAGAAAAGGTCGCACCAGCTTCTGTTGGGTTGAATATGTCTCTCCAGGTTCTGCACCCTCAAGTGCCCTGGTGCAACTCATGGACCAGCTGGAAAAAGCAAAACAAATCTCATGACTTATACCTTGGGTATATCCCAGTACCAGCAACACATGATGATGATGATGATGATGATGATGATGACAAGGGCTGTGAGTGGTTCGAACGCGTTTCGTGTCGCCCATGTTGCGGTGACCCTGGACCTCCTGGACATGTCACTATTACTCAGTTGATGAAAGTTGAAAACGGGGCCACATGGCCACATCCCAGAGGTCCCCCAGTTCGGCAGCGAACTCAACGGAGCTTCGCTAAAACAATGTCCACAACGTCCAACGTCCATCTTGCCTTCAAATCATCCACCGTCGCTTGGTGGGCCATCTGCAGCAGTTGTGGTGGCCCGAACTCGCTGCGCACTACCACGCCGAAGCGGCCTCGCTGCAAAGCCGGTATGGAACATCAAGGGAACGCGACAGGGCCTGCCATTTTGGTGTTGCTGGGATCAAAAGCCGCTTCCACCAACCGGTGATCACTATTCAGAGCGGCGTCGGCAATGGACACCGAGCCTTCTGCCCGGTCGAGCTGGCCACGTGTTCGGTTTTTGGGGCTACATGGAGAGGGAACCCAGCACCAGTTCCAAGACATTCAGTGACTGGACCAAAGGATGGAACCTGAGAGAATGATGCGCAGGACTTCTAGAGGAGGTTTTACTCTTTTGATCCATCTTGTGAAGTGGGCCCTCCAGATTGTACCCCAAGTACCCCACTTGGAACGAAAAGCACAACAGCCTTTAATTGAAAATGACCACCTGCCAGGTCAAGCCTTCCATGGAGGGCATCGCCAGTTCGAAAGGAATCGAGGGCGGTATGACAGATCGAAAACTCGACGCGACCCGTCTGGGACTGCCATAGGATTGCCGATCAGGCCAGGGGTGGTGCCAGGGGGGTCAATGTAGGCATATATATTCCAGTCCATGGGCTGCAGGTCCTATTGATCCGACTAATCCATGACCATGTGGACCTCTATAGCCTTTTTGGGCCCGGCTTCGGCGACCTCGTCTTTGAGGTGTGCCACTTAGAGCAGCGTTTGCTCTCGGGAGCGCGCTCGCTATTGGATTACATAATGTACCGTTATGTTTACCTTATATATATACTTAGCGTTATATATGTACACAACAAGTGCGCTATATATATATATATACACAATATAGACACAGCATTAGCATTAGCATTATTATTACATTTACGCAGTATAGTTGTAAAACAGTGCATACTACACTACACATATCAGTTCGGATAACAAACAAACAAACCACATAGTATAGTTATACCCTGGCTGCACACATATCCAGATGAAACTCCACCGCTCAACCCGCGCCACCCGCCGCAACCACCGCCCCATCCCGCCTATGCGCCGGCCTGCGCCTTCTACCGGCAGAAGGTCGCGTTTGATTGGCGGCAGGTCAAAACGGGACGTCTTGCGAAAAAACGCTTAGAGAGATTTTGCCAGCCTAGACCTCAAACAGTTTGTGTCTTTAGAAGTAAGCCAGAGACGAACTGTCAAACAGTCAACGGCTCAAACCGCTCCAGCTCCCGGTGATCAACTCGGACCTTCTGGGTTTGTTCCGGCGCTTGGCTCAATGGCTCAAAGTCAGGCCCAACAATTCAGACGAAAACAGAACATACGCTAGTCTATTGCTGAGTTGTACTGACAATGTGGCTCTATCATGCTGTGTTGGGCTAAAAGCTTTCAGCCCAAAGCAAAGAGACAAGTGAAGATCCGGCCAAGGCCAAGAGTATGTGATGAGAAGACAAGCAAGAGACAACTCCGGCCAAGTGTTTCCAGAGTAGCCTGAGGCAAGAGGAGACAAGTGTAACAAGCAGGGAGACAAGCGGGAGACAAGCGTGCATGAAACAACTTGGCCAAGAGTGTCTGAGCAGGGAGCCCGCAAAGAGGCAAGAGGAGACAAGTGTAAAAACATCCGGCCAAGCGTATCCAGAGTAGGCCGAGACAAGTGGAGAGAAGGGTAACAAGGAGGGAGACAAGTGCAACAGGCCCGCAAGATAGACTTAGGCTTCGGCCAGCACATGCTATGCAGAGTTGGCCACTTGGGCATGTGCCAATTCCTTGAGTCTGTTTCCTTTGCGAGCACAACTTCACGCGCCTCGACTGCAAGTAGTAGTCTTGGCCATCGTCTTAAGTTAGCGTGTTTCTGAAACTACTGCTGTAGTTGGATGAGTTCAGTATTGGAACACCTTGACCTTGAGGCCTGGATGGAACTGGCCCACTTTGCATATGTGGGGTGTTTCTAGCTTAAATTGTGGGCGCAGTTGGTTCAGCTTCATGATTTGCATGTCCCTCAATGCACCTTCCCAATGCAATTAAGTTACAATCCGTGCTTCTATCATACATTCCGCGATGAAGCCTTGAATGGAAATCTGATCAGTTTTTCATATGCGAATCACCCAACACAAAATAACTAGCGTATACTAGCGCCGCTCGTTTCTTTTGCAGTATGTAAATGAGCTTTTGATTGGTGATTCGTAGACCCTAAACCCCAAACGCTGGTCTTTCAAGCCAAACGCTTCCCTGGATGCTTTCTCCCGATTCCGTCACTCCTCAAGCCTTCTTTTCTCCTTGCGGAGTTTCTTCTTCTGGTTGTTCTGGCCGGCGAAGCACCAGTCATCTCTTGTGAAGTTTGTTTGCAACTACAAGCAAGGGACCCCAGGGGCCTCATTGTAGACCCCAAAGCTGAGGTCTTATGGAGTTGTTCCTTTTTCGGGAGTCGGGGGCAGCCGTGAGAGAGGCCAGCAAGACCATGGTGGAGTTCCCTTCGAATGCTTCGGGGTCCGATGGGTCACGGTTGTATTCGGAAACTCGACGGTTGTATTCGGAAAGTGGGATTCGGAAACTACGCAACTATCCACATAAGCTTAATGCCCCTGCCAGTGCATGGCACACGATCTCTTTTTCTTGCTCGCAGTCGTCAATTCCATGCCCTGGAACTCTTAGGTTTTGACATATACGATTGTTCTGACTGGAACCACTGGTGACCTGATCTGATGATCCTGGGATACATTGGGTAATGATCAATGTTTTCACTGATATCAGATGGAATGAACTTGGTGTTGTTTCCTGGGGGGTAAATGATACACCAAAAAGCACTTGCAAATTCTACCACAAGCCCACCGGAAATCGTGCCTAATTCCCCCCCTAATCTCCTAGTTGGGCATCAGAAACCCCCCCTTGGATTTGAGTTCTTGAGTTGATAGTTTTTTGCGTATTTTTGGTTGTTGTCAATGATTTCAGCCCTGTCTGGTCACTGTGCATTCACAAGGTAACCGAGCCTTCTGGGATTTTGTGAGGCTGCTCTCGCTGCGGGCTACCTGCAGGGATCACGATCATGGGTTCCCAGTATTGGCGATGCTTCTTCGGACACTGAACCGGGCCGACTCCGAGGGAACAACGGAGTTAATTACATTACACACTTAGAACACTGTCCTCCCTCCAAAAGCATGCTGCTGTGCTAGGTAAAAGCCCCAAACATAACGGATTTCCAATAGCTGTGAGTGGGGCACTTGTGGGCGAAGTGGCGACTAATTAAGTCATTTGCAAGGACAGCTACTACTGCGAGACCAACTTCACGGCCAGTCGGGGCTTGCAAAAAAACTCCCCCCACATCCACACCCCCCCAAAGGATTGGCCGCATCTGATGTCTATATAACAAAGGCAATCAAGGCAATCTTGGGCTGAGCAAGCATACCACCACTCCCAGCCTGATCAATCCTGGAATCAATCCATTCACTTCGGTCTTCCATAGGATTTGTGGCGCCCAAAAAACAACTAATACAAACCTGGTTCTTCAAAGTGACCTTTTGATATCCGACACTCTTGCGGGACACTCTTGTGGGACACTCCTGTGGGACACTCATTTGGGACACTCTTGTGGGACACTCTTGTGGGAGACTCTTGTAGGGCACTCTTGTGGGAAAGTCTTGTGGGACACTCTTGTAGGAAACTCTTGTGGGATACTCTTGTGGGACACTCCTGTAGGACACTCTTGTGGGATACTCTTGTGGGACACTCCTGTAGGACACTCTTGTGGGATACTCTTGTGGGACACGCTTGTGGGACACACTCTTGTGGGACACTGTTGCGGGACACTCTTGTGGGACACTCTTAAGGGACACTCTTGTGAGACACTCTTGCGGGACACTGTTGCGGGACACTCTTGTGGGACACTCCTGTGGGACACTCATTTGGGACACTCTTGCGGGGACACTCTTGTGGGACATTCTTGTGGGACACTCTTAAGGGACACTCTTGTGAGACACACTTGCGGGACACTGTTACGGGACACTCTTGTGGGACACTCCTGTGGGACACTCATTTGGGAGACTCTTGCGGGACACTCTTGTGGGACACTCTTGTAGTACACTCTTGTGGGACACTCTTACAGGACACTCTTACAGGACACTCTTGTAGGAAACCCTTGTGGGATACTCTTGTGGGACATGGTTGCAGGACACTCTTGTGGGACACACTTGTGAGACACTCTTACGGGACACTCTTGTAGGACATTCTTGTGGGACACTCTTGTAGGACACTCTTGTGGGACACTCTTACGGGACACTCTTGTTGCACACTCTTGTAGGACACTCTTGTGGGTCACTCTTTTGGGACACTCCTGTCGGACACTCTTGTGGGACACACTTGTGGGACACTCATACGGGACACTCTTGTGGGACACTCTTGTAGGACACTCTTGTGGGACATGCGGGACACTCTTGTGGGACACTCATACGGGACACTCTTGTGGGACACTTGTCTTGAGGGACACTCATACGGGACACTCTTGTGGGACACTCTTGTGTGACACTCTTGTAGGAGACTCTTGTGGGACACTCTTGTGGGACACTCTTGTGGGACACTCTTGTAGGAAACTCTTGTGGGATACTCTTGTAGGACACTCTTGTGGGACACTCTTGTAGGACACTCTTGTGGGACACTCCTGTAGGGCACACTCTTCGTACGAGACTTCCTCCAAAAGTCACGCTGGGAGACTGCAAGACGAGCGTTTCGTACGAGACTTCCTCCAAAAGTCACGCGTCAAGTCTCAAAAACGAGCGTTTCGTACGAGACTTCCTCCAAAAGTCACATGTCAAGTCCCCAAAACGAGCGTTTCGTACGAGACTTCCTCAAAAACTCACATATCAAAGTCTGCAAAACGAACGTTTCGCACGAGACTTCCTCCAAAAGTCCAGCGGAAACACCCATCAGAGCACACACATCGCGCAGCCCTGCCAAGCAGTTTCGCGAGTCCAGCCCCTCCAAACGACACCCGCTCAAACGCCAATCCCAATGCGACAGCGACATTCACCTCTACCACAACTCACAACCTCCCGATTCCCTGCGCCTGCCACGAATCTTTCCGCGTCCACACGTCTAACGCGCACAAAGTACTGCGCCTGCCACGAAATGTCACCTCCGTCACACATCGCAACCTCACGGTTCCTTGTGCCTGCCACGAAAATCCCACTTCCACACCTCAAAACCCGCACAAAGTCCTGCGCTTGCCACGAAAAGTACCAATGTCATCTCATGTGAGCTTCGACAAAATTTGCACCACACCACACGTTTGGAATGATTTCGACCTGTTCTGAGCACACTCCCATCCACCAAAATTTGCATTTCAGCTGAGACTTGTCACGAAAACAGAGCTTCGATGCCACACCCTGAAACGCAAATCCCAATGGCACGGCCACATCCAACACCCAAAAAACACGACTCTCCAAACGCTAATCCCAATGGAACTGCGTAGCAAACTGCGGATCTCACAAAACGCTGCGCCTGCGCAGTGAAATGCATCACGCTTCTTGCGCGACATGTCCTTTTCACGCAAATCACAATGGACTCGCGTCGCAAACTAACACGTGACACATCCACGCATAGTCACTTGCAAAAGCTTCCCCCAATGGCAGCGCCTTAGCGACCTACTGCGGACGGTTGCGGACGGTTGCGGACGGTTGCGGACGGTTGCGAACGGTTGCGAACGGTTGCGAACGGTTGCGAACGGTTGCG